ATATATATATATGCAAGTAAATCTTACTGCCATTGTTCTTGGATAGAAGTTAAAATCTAAATCCAGAACCAAAACCTTACTGTTTAAATTGTGTGTTAGTATTTAAATATACACAATTGTATGTTTTATACGATGTTATGAATGTCGTATTGCTAATTAATTACTATACATATATAGATATATAAACGTACCTTTATACATATTGCTACTACTAGTTGTTTTCTGTTCCCCTTCAAAAATAAAAATTTAATCACACTATTTTATTACTAGGATACTAAAAATAATAAAAATCTAATACAATATTTTCTTTTGAATCAAAAACACATAGTTGATTTATAACATTTAAATAATATACTATTTTTATTCTATATTTGTAATTTACAGTTCTGTTGTTATTCTATACAATTGTTATTTTCTTTTCATTTTTCTGTTATAATCAAGTCATTAATAAAGTAACTGTTCGTCAACCTGTAAATATGGATCTTATTTTCAAAAACGTTCAAGTAAAAAGGAATTGTTATTTGACATAACAATTTTTACCTGTACTTGTTGAATTGTTTCCGCTATTTGTGGTATTGTTCCCTGCTGAACCATTGTTTCCACCTCCGTTTCCATTTGGAAATCGACCCCGTCGGCAACCAGCTTTTCCATCATGATGATGTCCTACAGGAGATTGCAAATTTATGGATATTGCTGATACCTGTTAATAAAAATAAATTTCCATACACAGCAAAAAAAAAAAATTAAAAAAAGATTATGAAAACTAAATAATAGTAGAATATCGTTTCATGAATAAATCAGCGCGCAATGCGCAATTATACATATACACATATGAATATCATTATCAGCGATATAATGCAACGCCCTCGTTATTGAAGAAGATATGATAAATTCGCATTTGTAATTAGATATTTATGTTAAAAGGTACAATTAGAATCTTACCGCGAGGAAAAATAACATAAAACAAAATAAATACACAGTAAGTAATTTCATACTGAAGTGGTTGAATGGAAAAAGATATTGTGACAGACACTTCGACTGCTTAGAGCTTAGACTAGTATCTGAATATAGAATGATCATGCGTTCATATATACCAGATGCATGGTACAATTATAATGTTTATCTCACGATCTCACATCAAAAAACTAATTTGTCCTGTCACATTTCCTGTAATCTTCCGCACAGTAATTACATTTTTCTATCTTTCATTTTACGAATGGAGTATCCCTCTTATACAATACCAAGAAATATGTAGGTGTTATTTCCTTGTAATAAAACTTAATGGCAATAAAATTGTACAATAATGCTTGCTGTGACACAACACAGAATAACACAAAATACATATATATCACACAAGATAATTATCAGAATTTCGAGGAACTCGCTTGAATTAATTGTTTCTGCTAAATTTACCTTGTAAATATTGTACATTTAAAAAAATATAAAATATTTCAAATATAATATTAGTGTGAAAATTTCTATGTCTCCTTTCTCCTCATACTTACTCACTCAAAAACAGCAGAACTGAGGAGGATGTCCAAGCAGGACTCTACATTTTGAACAAGATCACGTGTTACTATTTAGACGCATGCGTTTCAAAGTTTCAACTGCTGCTGCTGACATTGACTTTGACTGGCTTGATTCGCACGAGCGTTTTGAAATATATTTTTCTCTCTGACTTGTAGGCCTTACATTGAAAAACCGAAATACAGACATATATTTTGCATTGGGTTTGCGTTTTTTTAGATCATTGAAAATTCTCATACATGCAGGAACATTCGCGCTCGTTTCTCTAGCGAAAGAGCATGATGAAAAAGGAGAATCTAATATTTTTCAGGCAGGTATGTAGCAAAGCGCAGATGAGAATAATGTCTACTTATACTATAAGTAAGTAACTATAAGTCTTATAGTTACTTACTTAGATGTAATGAAATAAGTAATGAAATTTAAATATAAGGCCCACAAACCAGGGAGAGAAAAATATTGTTCAACGAACTTGTCCATTGAAACCGTTCAAGCTGTCGCGGAAACTGCTCTGCTCGTGCAAAGGACTTTTCCTTGGTATATGTATCATATCGTCGCGCACCATCGCGCGTGAAATATAACCATCATGGACAGAAGAAAAGTAAAAGGAAGTAGTTTACATAAAAATTTGATAGGGAGCCAGACGTCACTATCATCTAGTAGTTCGTGTCGAACTAGATTATCTACAGATGAGCTACTATCAAGAAATAACAGCTCATTGTTGGCTGGAAAAATCTTGTCAAGTCAAAGTAAGTTTACTAGAAGACTTTTAAAAACTATCAGAGCGTTTAAATAAAATATTCGTAGATGAAGACAAATCGTTGAACGATGATATATTTTCGGAAAAAGATTGTGAGTCCCAAAAAAGTAATCAGAAAGAAAATTTAATACGTGGGAAACCATCGTCACGTAAACGAAAATTGCCGAGTCCTGATGATGATGATCTGGGTCTTCCTCTGGCAGAGTCTACAGTTTTAAAAAAGAGACGAGATAATAGCAACATTACACAAAGTCAATATGAAAACAATAATCAGGGAACTAGTTCTAACGCATCATCAAGCACTCAAATACCAACACGGGAAAATGTTGACAACGTTCTCATTGAGAAATGTAAATTCATCAAATTTTTACATGAATCTGGCATTAAGATAAATCCAAATGCTCCGCATATTCTATGTACGTAATATGATAAATATTATCTTCATCTTAATCTTGTTATGCATTTGATTGAAATCAAATTCTATTTATTAATTTATTGTAGGTAAGGATATCATAATAGTTCAAAAGAAAATGAAACAATTGCTGAATTCAAATAAGTATGAAAAATCAGAATTAATCACACTAATGGAGAAGTATTTTGAAAATGAAGAAAATCTTAAAAATGCTCTTATTGATATGGAAGTATTAGATACTAATGAAGTGGCAAATATTTTGCATACATCATGTCTTGTAAAAATTCTATTACAAGTTTCAGAATTACATCCAGAAATATATAGCAGTCTCCTGACTAAACTTAATGAAGCTGTTCTTATAGCGTATGTTTTCTGTTATTACGACAGCCCTTTGGAGTTCTCCATAACTTTTATCATTTTGTCATTTCCTTTTTCAGTGATTCTATGGAATCAGTACCTTGGGCTCTTCTATTACTGCAACAATTTCGTTTCCTGGATGTTGTAATTAATTCTGATGCTCTGACCAGTAGCTTAGAACAGCTCCTAGAATCTTGTCCTCTATGGTTTCAAACTGAATTAATAACATTCTTACCCGATATTGTAACTGACAAACAACATCAAACTGTGGCTGAAATTCTGAATAAACTTCTAGAAGAGAATACTGTATTAGTAAAATCAGTATTAAATTGTATGACCAATTTAAATCTTGGCAAAGAATATTTGGAGGAATTTAAAGATAAAACATTAAACTTGTTGAAGACAAACGTTAAAGTAAATGCAATACCAGCCATTGTAAAGTACGTTTCATAATTTTTAAATATTATAGCTTAATATAATACTAATTATCTTATAATTATTATGTTCTACAGATTTGTTTTAGAAGATTATTCAAATATAGACATTTTTGAAAAAGCATTAAAAGTATTGCGTGATACTGATATGCAGCCTCTCGTTGGGGAAGATGCTGAAGAGTGCTATCAAAATCAGTTAGATGTATTCAACAATTTAAAAATGAATATGCTTTTCTCAAAGAATGTAATAAATACAACCTTAGCAGTTATAAAAGATATCACTAAGGATCCGAAGACGTTAGATATTATTCTGTTGCTCCTCATATTTCAAACAACAGATATAAAAAGAAAACTCGTGGAAACAATATTTAAACAACACATACGATCTGGCTTTTACAGAGCTAGCTTATTAAATATGCTGTATAATGATTATAAACATGTTTGTATAAAATAACTATTAGATATATTTAGTTGCTTAACGTCTAAGAAAAAATAAGTTAATGTTTTTCCAGGTAGTACAAGAGTTACAATCAACTGTGTTACAAATATCAAGCAATTTATTAAAGACGGATGAACGTGTATTTACTGATTTCGCTATCGATTGGATCCGTTTGCAGTTCAAGTGTCATAAAAATAATATATTTAAACAACGAGAGATTTTAGAAAGAATTATATTCCTCATGGGTGATAATGACCAGACTGTAAAAAATACTTTATTATTTCTTTGCAAAATGGTCGAAAAGGAAGAGGATAGAGAATATTTGTTGTCACATTGTAATCATCTTCGTATTTTGCTGGAAAAGATGGATAACTTGAATCTAGAAGAGGTTGGTACATTGAATGACTTATTACAACATTTGTGTACAAATTCCAGTGCCACAGCAGATTCTTTGCACGACGATCTATCCATACTGATGCAGAAACAATTATCTAATTTTAAACCATTGTAGGTATTAATACGATGAAGAATAACAATAAAAAATGAACAATAATTAATTTTATTTTTGTATTCTAGAACAAAGTCTAAAGGTGTTTTGGCGGCAGTAATGGCTATAAAACATTTAATGCAAAAAACAGAAGTATCTGATATTGCCTACAATTTATTTAGTAAGCATAATAATATTTACATTAGTATACATTTTCATATATAAGAGACTTATGATAACAAGTTTATTTTCCATGCTAAAATAGAGACAGTATTAAATAACGTAAACAATTGTCCAAGATCACAAGCCCTCTTTTACGATCAGTTGTCATCCATCATTTTGGAAACGAAAAATGTCAATACAGACTTTATAAAGTCTCTCGCAGATCATATCGAAGAACAATTTGTTAATACAAACATGATAAACAAAACAAATTATAGGTATATTTTATAATATTTGAGACGTATAGTATTTCCTATTACATTTCCATCTTTTTATGCTACGTTACATTTAGAGGAGACTCTGTTCCTAAATTTGGATTAAATAAATCAGAAGACGAACCACGAAATTGTTTTATAACTTTTGAAAATAAAAAGTATGGAGCGATTGTTCCAATATCTTTTAAACTTCTCCGAACATGTCATATAAGGCTCAGTGAGAATAAAGATTTGGGAGCCATAAATTCTCTTTTGGGATGTGCAATCTTAATGCCAGAAAGCCTTGATATAGCAGAAAATTCGATAGTGGATTTAGTAATATGTTGCATTAATTGGTAAGAGAAATAAAGATTGCATGATTAAATTAAATACACGAATGCTTGATGAAACTTAATTTCAGGTTCCGTGAAGTGATCAGTGGTTTTGTTATACAGAAAAACCCTTTGTTAAGAAAGCAAGTACTACAACGACTGGATAATCTAATAGATTTACAAACTGAACTGAGCACATTACTTACGTTGTGCGATACAAAATATCAACCACCTCCTTGTTATTTTCATAAATTTCCGCTGCCACCGTTTTTTGGAATAGATAAAAAAATTGGCAAGAAAGGGAAAAAAGGGAAGAAAAAATCGCTTAGTTTTAGTGAAATTAAAGATTGGGAAACTGGTTTCTTGATATGTTCAAAAAACCCAATTTATTTCAGAAAATTCGATGCATCGGTATGACTACATTAAAAACATATGTAGTTACTTAAATTAAGGAGATTTTGTCAATATAAATGTGAATGTAATCTTTTATAGATAGTGCATTTGTTGGATGTTAAAATGGACATACATGTATCACAATCTGTAAGACATGGGATATCTGTGAAGCAAGTTTGTTTCATTGTCCAGGAACTCTTGGCAATCCTTGAACACGATACTAACGAAAAATGTATAAAAGATTTAATCGAATTGTTACCTAAAATTTGTGCAAAATTGCGAGATATTGTAGAAACTTTACGAGAAGAGAAGGATAATCAAAGTAGGGAGGCTGCTCGATTATTATTACGTCTTCTAACAAAAATTTTCACTTGGAAAGGATTTGAAAGTGTCACATATAATATATTGTTACGAGGTATGTGATATATTTGTATAATAATGTGTTATGATTTATAGTATATTATAATAATTTGAATTTTCTCTTTTAGAGGGATTACGCATTTTAGCTAGTCAAATTGATGAAAATAATATTACGTTACGATCTTGCAAAGAGCTTGTCACAGAATCTTGCAAATATTTTGAGTCTTTATCCGATATTGCTACGCAGATATCATTGTCAACGTCATTAATTGATATGTGTCAATCATTAATGAAACATTCTGAATCCTACACTAAAGAAAACAAAGAGAAATATGGTAAGAAGTATTGTACATCTTTACAGATTAAGTATTGAACGTTCTGTTCTTTTTAGCAAAAATGGCATTTGGGTTCTTATGTCTTCAATGGCCGGAAGATAATCATTCTAGTACTCAATACAAATCAGCTGTAGTTCAATTGTTAAATCATTGGATTAATAATGAACCACTACCGCTTCAAGTAATAACTTCAATTTTAGAATGGTTACCAGATGAAATTTTGAACTTGGAGAAGTCTCGAAACAGTTTGAGTAGAATACCGTCAATAACAAAGGCTAACTTTCACTCTCTTTTCAAGAAGATATTTGATGGTTTAATTAGCGGTATAAAAATAGCGCTGGAAATGGCTGACAGGTATGTAATTTCTACTTCTAATTGTTATATCAAATAAGTATCTCATACAATTATTTTTTCTTATAATAGAGACCCTAAAAGAATAGAGCTATGGTATGAGGTAGGAATAAATGTTCAGAAATTAGTTCAAATATGTAAAACACTAACAACAAAAAATAATTTACTAATTTTTATAAAACAAATGTCTATATTGTTGAAATCTTTTCTACACCTTGGTATGCCAGTACTTGAGCATAATTTGAAATACCAAACAGAGGAGGTAACCAAGATATTGAAAATGATGCAAGGTATAAATATCATTGGCATGATAGAATCAGTAGTGTATACAATTAAATAGAAAATTACACAAAATTATTAATTTAGATGGTACGCGATATTTGCACAGAATATGTTGTGATAGTGCAGAAAAGAAAGATACTACGTTGATGAAGTACATTCCTGCAGCAAAATCTGTTTTAGAAAAATTAATTTTTTGTGTCAAAGGAATGTTAGTTCTTAACAATAGCCCTGCTGCTTTTTGGATGGGCAATCTTGTCAACAAAAACTTAGAAGGTCAAGAAATTTTTTCACAGGTTTGTTAAAGTTTCATTCATTTCTATAAATACATAATTCTATGAATTACTGCTTACCATGTAATTTTGTTGGTACTTTCAGAACATATCATCAGAAGATAGTAGTAGCATACAAAATATAGGCGATACACTTGATGATGCAACTAATATATCTTCAGATATATTAGCGAGCGATTCTGATGATGTCGCTGATGATGATGATGTACTGTAATAATTTTTTACAGCAGTACAAACAAATGATTCCATCAAATATAAATGAGATACCTCAAAGGAAAAAATAATATACTTAGTTAATATATTTTAATAACTTACCAAAACTCATTCCTATATCAGTATTATTTAAGAAGTTATAATATGAAAACTAAATTTGTGAGAATATTACTCACATTTATTTGTATCAACTAAGTTTCACATAACAATTTGTTATTAAATACTTGACGTTTCCATGTTAAATCTGGCATAAGTGTTTCTTCAACAAATGTCATTTCATTCCGACCATTAACCAGTAGTATAGAATGAGTTCTTGTACCGTATCCATCGGTTACCACACAAATTGAGCTCAGTTCTTTATACTTCACTGGACAACGTCTTTCCAATTCGGGATCTGGTAAATATCTGTCAATATTTACAAAATGAATATAAGTTCACAGCTGTTAAAGAATATCCTTTGACTTGCCTTTCTTTTGATTTTAAAAACGTCAACAATTTCTCAATAAGGTCAGTTTGCTTTGACACCTTAGTATCTTTAATAATAGTTTTGAACATTTCTTTTCCTGCTTCAACTTTCTTAAATGGAATATTAAGACCGCTGTTACTAAAACCCAAGATGTTCTCTTGAGCTAAATCAGGTCCTGTTGAAGTTTCAGAACTACTAAGGTAATTCACATCTGCAGTCCTAAACAAATTTTTCTACATCAATATTTTATCGATTGGATTATAAAAAGATATCTATCGAAATAATTGTAATTAGACAGATCATTAAATCATACGTACAACAAATTTACTAACACCAAGACAAAAGGATTATAAATTTGTTTCTTATTATTTTCCTCGTGTAACTTATTCAAGTACGAGGTCGCCGAATTCTTTGATGCAACAAAATTAGGCACTAAAAATCCCCTTCCTTGTTTTGGAATATTAGTTACGGATGCCTCATTAGTTAAATTCAGAATGATGCCAGCTTTTCCATTTAATGACACGGCTAGCCATGTTCCACCTTCTTTTCCAGGCTCCATATCAGTCCCTAAGATTAATATGAAATTTCATGTTCTTAATTTATTGTTCAATATTATATAAAATTAAACATTTTACAGAAAAGATATGTATATATATGTAAGTATATCACATTTAAACGAAGTGAAAACACAAATCAATATCTGATGCAATTCAAGCATACCTCCTATACATTGCGGATGATCTTTCCAATAATGGGCTGGTAATGAAGGCCGCTTAAGATATTCATCACGATTTGAAGCCAAAATCAATCGATAGGACTCAGAAGCAGCATTAGGATTACGATAAATAAATAAAATACACATAGTTAAAGCAATACTATTTCTAAGCAACAAAAGACTTGTTCTCTTCTTCTTCGATTCTGAATTTAAATCACATTGTATAATGGTTCTGATAAGACTATTATTCACATCTTAGCCATAAATTAAGATAACGTTTTATTTGTACTTAGGAAGCAAGATATTAAGAACCAATATATCTATGAAGATAGTGAACAATGATTGGTTTATTTTTGTAATTCATAACTGTAATTAAGATTACAAAAGAATGTAGTACTTCTTACATTTTTAAATACATATGTATTATTACGTATTTCAGAAAATTATCTGTAGATGAATTTTACCAGAATGCTTTTAAAATTTTTAATGCAGAACTAGTCAGTAAGATGTATAAATACATAACCGGTGTTGTATGTAAGTACCACTAGTCCTTGTCTTTTATTACGTCAACGTCAACATTTACACTGATTTGCAGATAACTTTTCACAATATTTTATCACTGATAATTTTCTACTTATTGCGCCAACTTATTTCTTTGCGTTTTCACCCTGTATATTCGTAAATAGCACATTTTGCACAAAAGAAAAGATACTTATGAGAAACGCAGAAAAAACAATAATAATTCTTGTGCGCAGATTCCTCGAAATTAATCGATATATCGACAATTACTTAAGCGCGAAACCTGTATAACGGTTTGAAAATTTACAGATTTAAGGGCAAGCATTTTTTATCAGAANCATAAACTTTATTTTAAGAAATTCCTCCAAACTTATTTCTACATTGATATATGTTTCTATTACAATTTGTTTTGAAGAAGAAATATATGCTCTACTTAAAATTGCATTCCTCTCTTATAATTTATAATTCACATTACTAAAATGCCCAAAGATTTTTTTACGCTAGAGGTTTCTGGCAATGAAAGAGCCCACTTTCTTAATCCTGTCAGTAAAACTGAACTTGTGACTACAATTGCCCCTCCTACTGAATAAGGGTTTGGTATTTCATTGAAAAATAATACTTGCCAAAAAAAGGCAAAAACTATATCTGCTGATCTTGCTATTGCAACTGGCCCTGCTTGCTCCATTTGTAAAGCTAATGTTAATAATATCTGACCCCCAAAACTAAAAAGAGCAAGAGCGACAACTAAGAGTCTATCAGTCCCACATCGAGGTAAGCACAGTGCACCTATAGCCCAAGATATAACTATTGTTTGAATCAAAGCGAATGATCCAAAATTAGTCATAATTACTGAAAAGTGAAGGCCCTTTAAGGCTCTTAATAGAACATAAGCGTTTGCACCGAACAGAGTCGCTGAGAAGGCTGCAGCAGCACCCCATAAATCTGCATGTTGTGTTTTTATATGCCCATCTGAAAGAGACTCTACTGTGTGTCCAAAGATGAGTGGTGGACGTGTTATTAGGATTACACCAATCAATGTTAAACACACTGTGATAACATTGAATAAGCCACAAGGCTCCTTTAAAAATATTTTTGCAAATATAGCTACGAAGACAGGAACAGAAAATACTATTACAGATGCGTCAGCCAATGGCATATGTCGAAATGCATAGAAACTTAGCATCAAGCCAGTGGTCCCCACAAAGCTTCTTAATATTAGCATTAATCTACGACCCTTTGGAAATGGATGTTCTCCTTTGTATATTACAATTGGTATTGCTGGCAATAATACGCCTACAAATCGGAATGCTGCCAATTCCATTGGATTTACTTCAACTAGGCCCTTTACAATAACACTGCATAATGAGAAAAATAGTGATGATAATGTTGCCAATATTAAACCAAGATAAGGGCATGATCTGCATAATAGAATGGAAAATCGTTTTTGTTGTGTTGTTGAGTTCCTTTCAATTTCAGCATCAACTAAATGTTGCAGTTCAACATGCTCTGACATGTCTGAAAAATATAGTAAATAAACAGTTAACCTTAAAAATAAATGACAAATTTAAATGAAAAAAGAAACAAGAAGTAAATTTATTGGTATTATAGTTAAAAACGTTGATTTATTTAGATATATTCTTAACATTATTGCAATGATAATCGCTTACCTGTAAGGGATTTAATAATTCATTAACCACAGTTGCAGATATATTAGCAAAATGATGTAATAAATAATTAGTGTCGTGCATTTATAAATTATTTGGAAGACTAAATTATTTTAAATGTTCTGATAATACATTCTCGTTCATTGCCACTGACAATGTCCATCACATTTTTTTTAACGTCTCTCTAGCTATTTTAATTTAGAGGTTCAGATATCACGTTGTCCCGTACATGAAATAACCAAGTAGGATCGTA